GCCATCTGCTTTGGGAAGACCTTTAGTTGGCATTTTTGCTACGTTCCTGTTTAAATTGACATATTGATTAGTCCTTCAACCAATAGCAAGACTACACATGGAAGGACCTGTCACGGCATGACAGGGACAAAGCAGTGCATGGTTCAAAGGGAAACACCTTCAAACATACCGTGAACAAGACTTAGCTAGGCCTTGGACATCATACAATGAGATATTATCCGAAGTGCTAGAGAAAAAATTCTTGACTCCAGGTTAGACATCTTTATTTCCGACCGGACTTCTTCTTTGCCGATTCTTGGTATCCTTCAATCCACTTTTTTGAAAGACCAAAGGTCTCTAAAAAGGTATCATTAACTGTTTCCACACACACCAGTTAGTATTTTTGAGAGAGCCGTGATATGACGACCCTGAGCCTGTACGACTACTGAATTTCCATAACGGGGATCCTCTGTCAGATTGGCGGAACAGGCTAACTTCGTTTGAATGTATCGAGTAAAGGGCTTCGGGTCGATGCCAAAGTTACTGAGGCCGGCAATACGGGTCTACAGTGAAAAGTTTATTCTAGTTTAAGAAATTTAACTGTTGGTAGAGGACTCAGTTTCAACGTACCACATCCTTTGCGCTCTGTCTAGTCTCATAGAGATTCAGTTTGAGACTTTTGTTATCCGTCGTAATTACCGGTACAAGGCCACTTTCGGGAGGGTAGGTTATTCGATATGCAGCTTTGAGGCCCTTAGTTATGGAGGTGATTAGATCCTGAAACGTTATCTGGAAGCGCGGCTCGGCAAGGGTGCTTTCAGGTGATTCTTTGAGCAAATTAGGGTCGCAAATCCACACTAACAAGTCGTTAACATTGATCAAACTAAAAATACGTAAAAGGGTCCAAAATCGCTTGCAAAACTTACTCTCTACTACCAGCGCTTCTGAGATTGTTTGAGTCGACATAGGCTCCGACAATATGGCAAATTTCTGATTGTTCGATGCCATCACCCATTCTAGAGCCCCAGTGTTGATTAAGCAATTGGGACGGGTACCTGTAACCAGCAGATGCAAAGAAGGGAGCAATTCTGGGGGTAATCATGCGAACCTCCTTGAGGGCAGGCGGCCCGAAGTAAAAGTTGCCAACAGCGAACCTGGAGTCCGTTGAATCGACAAAGGAAATGTCACTGTCACAAGTATTGCCGCTCAATTTCGAAAGCTCAGGCAAACCCTGTTCTAATTCCTGTAATCTGGGGTAGAAGGGGGAATACTAAGCCTTAGAGATCCTACTTGGGATGATCCTTCTGGAAAGCTGTCAACCGTGTAGTCCCAATATCGATGGTTTCTAGAGAGAGAATACCTTCAGCTGCCATCTTTTCCAGGAAAACACCGACCTGAGATTTAAAATTTCCAATAATCTGCGAAAGGTCACCTTCTTATACGAAGTTTTTTTAATATCTAGTTTTCCCCCATTCGGACTGAATTATCAAGCGCAAGGTTAGCACCACAATAGGAACGTACCAATCGGATTTCATATGCTTTGCATAAAAGACGTTAACCGGAAGGGGTAAATCAGTCGGCTTCAACGAGCAGAGGGCGCGTAGGAAGCAGAGCATTAGCAAATCATCACCATCAAGCTCAGCTGAGAAAAAAACAATCTAGGCATAGGATACTGAAACAGTCTAACTGGTTAGTATATCTGAGTAGAGAGTGCTTATGCCTAGTAGGATTTGTATGACAAAGGATATCAATTAGTGGGAACGTACAGGAACCATCTTCGGTTGTAGCTTCGTTAAAAAGCACCTCATTTGGGCTAACGGGTTCGATGTTGTAATTGACTTCAATTTTGTCCATAAGTTTGTAAGATGCCAGGAGGTGAGGGGGGCAGAGCTCGCTACAAATACAGACACACCTCACGAACCACGCATTAAGAAACTCTAAAGTCCAAATGCATCACGAGCAAGACTTACGTGAGCTTGTCTCGGGATGTGTGAAGGATCAGAATAGCCTTGTCTTTATCACCAGCAGCTCCAAATTCAGTTGCACTCATATTACAGATGCCGACAGCAAGTGGTTTAGAACATTTACCGTGAGCTGCTTTCTCCGGAATTGCGGCTACAGAGCAAATGGATGATTTTTGCAGTGAGTTTACGTGACCCCCAAGGGGTCCGTCCCGGATCACATCAGGCATCATGAGGTCTACTCAAAGGCTTCGAATACATTTCGGTCAAACAAACCAGATCCACCGAAAATTCTATCCATAACGACATCATACGTGTAAAGAAGAGGAATAGTGGAAGATGATAATAGAGAAAGAGTAAAAACTAGAAAAGACGAAGGACGCAATTATTTGGCATACAATGACACACCTGTTGGAATCATCTTACCTTCGTACAGGAAAGCCAGTGGCACTCCATCGAAGAGGTAGGATACAATGTCATGCCGTGTGCTAGTATGAATTTTAATTTCCGAAACAATCCTATCTTTAAAAATTACACCAGCATCTTCGTTTGACACATTCAGATCCTCTATCATCTTTTGTATGAGTTTCCTTCTTCAATGTGGAAAAATACAATTAGGTGGGAAGTGGTAACCTAACACGAATCGCCCAAAGAAAATTTGGCGTTTTTACCGTTTCATTTCACGAAGGACAACGTTTGTTCGGATCTTGAAGGGCTTAAGAAACAGCATATTGCGCCAAGCAGAAGCGGCTAGCAGCGTAAGTTGGCGTACACTGGAGGTTGACATCCAGATCAGGCGCCTTAGAAACATAAACTGGCTCAGCTAAAGAATACCAAAATTTGAAATCGCATTAATTTAACTTCAAGTTAGATGTCAATTTGTATTTATGCTTACACGAAGCAAGACTTAAGCCTTCGCGTAATTGCACACTTATGCTTCTGTTGTACAGTATTTAGAACCAAAATCTTTCAATGTTAAATGGGTGATTCAAGTCCTGCAGTGGTTTTTTAAGGGACGTAATATTAATACTATGTGTTGGTATACGCTACGGAGCAACTTATTAGCTGGTGGTCTTTGGCATAAAAAACAAAGAAGTGACACCTTTGCCGGCTTTTTAAATTTCCTCCGAGGTGTCCTGTGCGTATGGGTTTTGGTGCATGGATATCCGTGCCGGCATAGATTTTGAATTGTCAAGCGAGTCACTTTTTCTTCCTAGGAGTATCTGTGATAAATATGCCGAAATCGGAATTACATCAGTTTTTCCTTGGCAGGCTGCATGTTTGAAATTGCCAGGTGTTCTTGGTGAGCGGTTATATTTGATTTGACTTATTTTTGCTCAGACGGGACTAGAAATCTCGTTTATTGTGCTCCTACAAGTGCAGGCAAGACTCTAGTGGCGGAATTGATTACTCTGAAGCGCATCTTGGCCACTAATAAGAAGGCTATAATTATATTGCCCTACGTTTCTGTATCAAGGGAGAAAATGGTTTCGTTGCAGGTAATTAAGACCAAGGTTTATGTTCTTCTCTAATAACGCCCGTTGGTTTTGTGTAATACTACTAGATTACAGAGAGCTTTTCTTGATCACTTTAATGCATAATGAATTTTACTTTTACATACACTCAAGGATTCAAGTTACTCCGAACCAGATTATTGTTAGAATAATATCTGAATGTTTGAAAGACCCGAATCTTAAGGGAGAGTATTTGCCAGCATATTTTTGAAGGCATCGGTGTTCGTGTTGGCGGGTTCATGGGTGGCGTTAGTCCAGCTGGTGGCTTGGCTTCCGTTCGCGTCGCTGTCTGCACAATTGAAAAGGCCAACAATCTCATTAATCGACTAATTGAGGAGGAGCACCTTTCTGATCTAGGTACGACTTCGCCAATTCATTCGTCTATTCTGCAGGCATTGTTGTTGTTGACGAGATGCATCTCATCAGCGATCAACATCGTGGCTATCTTCTGGAACTCCTTCTCACAAAGCTTCTTCTTCATGGACGTATGGAGAAAAGTCGGCAGGGAAATGAAACTCGGAATAATCAGTCGGTCGAAGATCTGCACATTCAGATTGTTGGCATGTCAGCTGCTCTTTCTACCTTACCAGTCCTCGGTTCATGGCTTGAGGCTGCTATTTATACTACCGACTTCCGTCCTATTCCTCTCACAGAATTTGTCTACACCAAAGAAATCGTCTATCGAGTAAAAGCCGGTGAAGGGGATGCATACGAGTACGTTCTGGGGGATTCAAGCAAAAATTGCTTTCCGCTTTTTCGTTTAGGCGTTTGGAATCAATTAACGAAGGGGAATATGATCTTTTCAACGTCCCACGGGAGAGATTACCGGCCGTGGACAATGATGACGGTGTCTTTGAACTCTGTTTCGACACTCTACTGTCCGGTTTTGCAGCTCTTGTTTTTTGCTCCACAAAACAGTGGTGTGAGCAGCTTGCCACGTCGATGGCTGGACATGTGAGTTACCTTCGGATTGATGTGGTAATGTTCGGTGAGGACTTGCTTTGTTCGGTGACTTGCTTTGCGCTCCTTGTGGTAGATATATCGGTTGGTGAAGCCATACCTTAAAATGGAGGACGAATGGCCTCCAAAGGAACCGAACGATTATGGGAGGACACTAAGAAAGCAACTAAACGAGATTGGTCTCAACGAGTGTTTACAGCAGCTGGAGCGGAGCCCTGCTGGGCTGGATCCCGTACTTTCGCGATGTATCCGATTCGGCGTTGCATTCCATCATGCTGGTGCGTTTATATCCCAATTACTTACCAGTCGGTGGTGGAAACTAGTGGTGTCAACTTTTCCATATTTAAAGCTTTTTCTTCCTTTCAGATCTGTGAATTTACTTTACAGAATTTTCTACTAAAAACGCGGCCTGGTTGAAAAGTCGAATAATTCGGCTCGGATTGTTTGCTTATTTGAGCTACTATCGACTACCTTAGATAGGATTGCGTTGCATAACTCATTGATTATTTTTTCACAATGGCTACTCCAGATGTTGAGTACTTCTATTAAACGAACTGATGATGCTTCTAGGTCTCACCATAGAAGAGCGTGACGTACTAGAGATGGCCTTCCGCAAGGGTCATCTTCGCCTCCTTATTGCCACCTCCACACTGAGCTCGGGCGTCAATCTCCCGGCACGCCGGGTGATAATTCGTACCCCGTTCTTTCATGGTCAGACACTTGGCTATCTTGACTACAAGCAGATGGTCGGTCGGGCGGGCCGCAAGGGCATCGATGTACGTGGTGAGAGTGTGCTGCTTTGCAAGTCAAAAGACCTGCCTAAAGTGCGGCATCTCCTGAGCTGCGGTATGCCACGTGTCACATCCTGCTTGCTAACACAAAGCGGAACTCCTGAGTCGAGCTTGCGTAGAGCCCTTCTGGAGGTGTGTAGGTTTGTATTGCTAGGTACAGGTGGGACTTTTTTGCGTCATTGGGGACTATTTTTGGCCCACTGACTTCGGATATTTTACTCAAATTCTAGAAACTTTAAGGCCATAAATAACAAAACTATGTTGTGAGCTGTTTGTAAAACAGCACTTCTTTTTCATCTAAGGTCATCGCCAATGGCATTGTTGAAAGTGTATCAGATGCCAAAGCCTACATGGAGAGTACTCTTCTCGCAGCTTGTCTCAAAGCTCCTTCTAATTCCGAGTCATCACCCATTTTTCACTCACAACGTCGCTCTCTGATGAAAGGCAGCTTTCACGAGACTGATTTCCTTCTCTCCGCCTGTCTGGACGTCCTCCTGGAGAGTGAGTTGATCCTGAGGCTGCCGGGTGATGAAGAGGCGCTTAGACCAACACAACTAGGCAGAGCTATTCTCGCTTCCTCACTTGGACCTGTGGACGGACTGACGGTTTTCACTGAGCTGTCGAGAGCAAGTCGTAGTGTTGCTCTGGACACTGATCTGCATTTAGTTTATTTGGTGAGATGTTGGAAATTGCTTGGCTAAAATTTTCACTATAGCGGAGCTAACTTGTTTCTTGTCATACATTCGTATGACCTGCTTATGGTATAGTTTTGACTAGTTTTAAATCCTACATATCAGTGAAAGTGTCCTTTTTTGTTCTTCGACCACAATTTTACTTATTTGTTTTCTTAATAAACTGATTCAAAAGCTCGAACCCATAAAGTATATTCCCTAGGTGTTGTAATGAGTGTAAAAACTTTTGGTTTCTCCCCATTTCGGTGATCGAATAAGTTAATATACACAAGCAAGTGCTAAAGTAGAAATTGAATGTCATCAGCCCAAAACAGATTTATCCGTCTTTGTAGATGTAAACTTTTCTTTATCGGATATCTTAGTTTAGTTTCTCCTCGTGAAATTAAGCTTAAGGTGTTTAATTTACAAGTAATTTGATTTGAAATGCTTTGCTGATTTATTATATCGCATTACATTACGAATTTTATTCCCATCACTATTGGATTTCTAAATGAGGCTTTGTCAGTCTTACATTCCTAGTATATTTATGGAATGTACATAAATTTACCAGCCTGTAGAGTCCTACTGTTTAGTGAATGCCTGTTCACCTCCATCGTAATGCTTTAAGGTAACTTAAAGCTTTCTCTCTTCCGAAAGATAATTGCACGAGAGTCAATTACGCAATGCATATCTTTCAGGTGACTCCTATCTACCTCAACCTCGATAACAACCTGGACTGGTCCCGTTACCTCGAAATTTATCAATCTCTGTCTCTACCGGAGCGGCGTGTGGCTGAGCTTGTTGGCGTGGAGGAGCGCAACCTCATACGCTGTCTTTCAGGCGCAGCGGTGACCAAGCGGGCCCTGCCACAGATGCGACGCTTCTATCTCGCCTTGGCACTCCATTGCCTCGTGTGCGAGGATGGATTGACCGAGGTAGCGGAGCGTTTCGGCATCAATCGTGGCCTGCTGCAGAGCCTCATGCAGCAGGCCTCCACCTATGCAGGTAGTTAGTGCTGTTTTTCTTCCTCTTTTAGTCATCGATTAAAATTCCAATTGTATGGATAACTGCCAGTCAAAATCTGATCTTAGTTTTCGAATCGCCGTTGACTACTTTTGTAATACCTTTTACTTGGATGAATATGTCTGTCCAAAGCTTGCATGTTTTCAAGGAAAGGGAATTACCTTTATTTTGTTATTTTTCAAACAGCAGCTCTATTGAGTAGAACATTTCAGAAATGAAGTAGTAGGAGAATTTTTAATAGTGTCAATGGACAAAATAAGGCTACAAGATTTCATTAAATTCACAACTGAACTAAGCGATAGTAGTTATTAAAGGATTGGATTTGAGGAACTTGATAAAAATAAATATATTCAACAGACCATTTTAATCAAACGGAATTTCAGCTATAAATGGCTTAATGTTCTAACTAACGCATTGTTCAGTCACCGTACCAGATAATACGGCATATGAATATACATTTCTAAGTGCTTACTAATTTATGAATGCATGAAATATTGAAAAAAGTGGGTTGACTTTTAGCTGATGCTAAAGGTTTTTCACCTCATGAAAATTTGAGCTTTAAAATAGACTTAGGAAGATCAAATTCAGGATAATATAATTCAATCCAATTTATAAGTTGCCAGGGGACTCCTTTAATAGCGCCTCTTTATTAGATGAAGGCGCTTATTTCTAACGTATATGCCTTTATGTGAGTGGCCATTTCACATCTTCCAGTCAGTTGGATGTCCTTCCCCTTTCACCATCTAACTCTAGGTATGGTGACGGTGTTCTGCAACCGTCTCGGTTGGATCCACATGGAGCGTCTGCTGGAAGGTTTTCAGGTACGCCTCTTCTTTGGTGTATCCAACGAGCTTCTCGATCTAATTCGTCTCTCCCCTCTGCTGAGCACCAATCGCGCCCGCATCCTCTACCAGGCTGGCTTCACATCCATAGCTTCAGTGTCCAGGGCTCGACCAAAGGAAATTGAACGGGTGTTGCAGCGAGCAAATCCCTTTAGTAGGTCCGTTGAAACCTATTTTTTGGTCTGCAGATGGCCATTAAAAGTATCTGGTGCAGTCGGGTTTGGAACCTAGCGTAATTTTGTCGTAGTTTTTACTGGTCTTAAAAGGTGCATTCAGGTGGAAAGCAGGCAGCTTAACTCCGAATAAGGATTGACACCTACTGTTAATCAGTGTTTCTCGTAGGCATTTTACTTTGATGAAATAACTACAGTTTTGCTGGGGATTCACGATTCACCTTTGATGAAGTTTTCTTACAAAATGAAAGTTATTCAAGACATTGGCGCTTCCGCGTCTTAGGATGACAGCTTACGCAATAGCTGATATTACTTAGCCTATCTCACTGCATATATTTTCACTGTGCATAGTGGTAAGAATCAGAACGAAATACGTTCTCCCCGGTTGATTATCCTTCCGGACGGTTCTGCCGTTACCGAAATGGAACTGGCTTCATTGTTGACGTGTAGAGCGCAAGAAGTGCTTCAGGATGATCTTTTCTGCAACTACGGCGTCGACTTGCCTACTAACGTTGCAGTGGCTTCTTTCACACCCTCAGCGAAGCGACGTAAACTCTCGCCTTTAACTTGCACTGAAATGCGACCTGCTTCACCGCGCCCTGCCAACGTCCAGACACCTATCACGAAAAGTGTCCTAAATGGCTACTGCATCAGTAGGCCTCCCACTTCCCACAGCATTCTTAGCAGACCATCCGCCACAACGGAGTTTGCCTCAACACCTGTCGCAAACATCCAGGCATCTGCTGACCAAAGCAACTTTAATCATTCCCACGTTAATACCACACCCAGTTTCTGCAATGTTTGCGGACAATTACCTTTATTACCTCGATCCACAATGGGGCCTACTTCATCACTTATTGCAGACGCTCAGACATCTATTAGTGCCCGTGATCTCTCTGCCATATCAGCATTATCGGTGGGTGAGGAGATGGTTCAGCTCAACGACACAATGACTTTCTCGATGATGGAGCGATTTGCTGAGAATGCCACCGCAGAGTTGACCCTTGATACCGTCAGCAACGAGGACATTTTCAGCAGTCAATTACACAGTTCTTCAATCTGTGAGGATTCAAGGTTTGTCGGTTAACAAGGGGCTTAACTCTCTGTCTATTCCCTTCGGCACTTTTAACAGTATTTTTTTGTAATTCGGTAGTAAAAATGCTGTTCAACCGTCCGTTTTGTTGGAACAAGGAAAATCAATTGGTGAGTTTTTGGAAATGGGTTAATTTCCGTACCTACACTACCACTGTCTGACCAGTCTTTATTATTTCACCTAGATACATTCACCCGTCGGCCCCTCTTTTCTCTAATTGATGTCACAAAGACTCCTCAATTATGGGCGACATTTCAGCGTGAATTTGAAAGCTTTCTCGATTCCAACACCGACGCTGAAATACACTGGCTAGCTGTCCAACCACATTGGCAAGTTCTGGTAAACCGAGTGGCCTGCATGAAAGCTGTGAATAACAATGCTGGGATTGTCTGGCACGATGGCTGCGGTGGGAGACTCGCCCATGGAAGTGTCTGTTCTGGAGCCTGTCTTCAACTCATAGGCCTCACACTCTCCTCCTCGCGTTTGCATCCACAGACTGTTTTCTGGCTCCCTTTTCATATTCGAGGCGTGGACGTGTTAAAGGTTCTTAGACGCCTTCTAGCACGTCTCCGGCTTGGACTGATAGTGTGGGATTTGAAGTGGTGGCTCCGTGTGTCTACCGAACTTTTAGATCTTGATGCTAATCTAGTGCAGAACTTTCACGATCCTGGCACTCAATGTTGGTTGGAGGATCCGGACTCTGGTAGACCTAGACTTGTGGACGTAGTTCCAGATGCATCAGCTACTGTAAATGACCTCTTTTCCATGGGTTATTGCCTTGGTGAGTTTAGCTTTCAAGCGGTGACTTTTTTATTTCTCTAAGCCAATTTCAACTGAGAAATTTTGCAAATATTTAGATCCACCAACACAGCTGTGCGACTGGAGCAAACTGCAACTGGCCAATCCTTCCTCCCCACTTCCTTGTGAGTCTTGCGTCCCGCCAACCGTATTAAACACTGCTGCTCAATGCTATCTTCTCTCATTGGCCCCTCCACCCTCTCCTCCTCCCTTTGCCCTTAAGTTAGAACTGCCAGTGGCCTCGCTACTTGCTAAGTCGGAGTCATATGGTTTCGGTTAGTGGTCATGCTCGAATTGATTGATATAGGTCTTGATGCCTCATCCAACCTTAAGTAATTTTTCTACTTAGTTCTGAACTACTCCATTCTCAATGCATGTCAGATTGAATTGGAAAAGGTTTGTGATATGCTTGCTCGGCTTGCCCACACCCTCGTTGGTCGTGCTTTCGACCTCGGCTCTCCACGCGAAGTGGCGGATGTGAGTTACAAAAATTAAGGGACGGGAGAAGGGGGAAAAGCTAACTCTTCTGGCACATTATCATTTTCTCTGTCAGATGGTCTATAATCGACTGCACCTCCCAGTTTACACTAATCTGGCCGCGGAATTGGCCGCCAGCAAACGCGCAAGGAAAAGTCATCTTGGCTTTGGGCTGCCTGTACGACTGCGGCAGCTGCCGACGAACAATCAGACGCTCTGCCAGTTGGTTCATGCGCATCCTCTGCCGAGCATTGTGATGGAGTGGAGACGTATTCATGGAGTGCTGGAGAAGGCATTCAGTGGAATTGTCAGAGCTTGCGAGATGGCTCTGAATCGGCATGAGGTAGTAGTCTCGCTCGATTTCCAGCTGTTGTTCTACTTACTTATTTTGGTGGCAATTTTTTTTTCATGTTTTCTAGATTGCCTTATTTTTTTATAATACTTGGAAGGTTCCCCAATGAGTAATTTTTCATTCGCTTCACATGAATTAAGCCTCGTTGGTTGTTTCAGCGAGTTTGGACGTTCAGCGACTTTAAACATTTCACTTGATTGGGTCACCTAATTTGTTTGTTTGACCTCCAAGTATTTGTTCGAAACCGGACATTTTTTGCCCAAATGTGTAAATATTGCACATTCTAGATATATACGGTCTCCGTTGTATATCACGGGCAGGAGCTTGATCATTTGGTTTAAAATCTAATCCCATATTTTTCTAAAGTTGTTTTTCACAGAATTTCTTCGTAGAATCTGTGTAATACCAGTATTTACTCGCACTCAGACATTCTACTCTGTAGGAATACGCTATATTTGTTGTGCATGATTTAATTTAGAGTTATTATCTTAGATGTTTCAAAGCAGCGACAGTTTTCAAATCTCCTCATTTTATGCCGCTATCAACATAAGTGCCTTTTGAAGCTTGTATTTTTTACAGGTAATGGTTGTTTACACTTATATTATTGGTGTGTAATCATTTCGCTAAAAATCTATTTGTTTTATTTCGAAATGGTAGAGGTAACATGTACGATGCTCCTCGACACTGAGTGTAAGTCGGGATCCACCTTTATGACTACCGTTATTTTAGGTCGTTTTATCCATGTAACAGGAATTATGATGCCCGCTTGAACACCGTCACTCTAATCTGTTTATATTGTTTAATACTCTCCCTTAGACCTCTCCTACAGAGGTCAGAGTTGGCTGTGTCTACAAAACCTTCACAGCCACCGGACGAGTTGTTTCTACTCGCCCAAACCTGCAGGCTGTTCCAAAGGAGATCCGTTTCTCGTGGTCCACTCTGCTCCACCGACCTCAGCCACCACCGCAAAACGGTGTCATCTCCAGCTTGAAAGCACCGGCCAGTGTTGAATGGCCGCAAGCAATAGCCGACGTCCTGCGTCCCTTCGTTAAGGAGGCCGATTTGGTGAGCAATACCCACACTACCCTCGTGCTTCCTCTGCCAGGGTTATCAAGTATCGCTCTTTGCTATCCACTCATCCACCAGATTCTACGTCCACGTTCTGCCTTTGGAGCTGCCAAGGGCTCGGTCCTGGTGTCGGCGGACTTTTGTCATTTGGAGCTGCGCATCTTGGTGCATTTGAGTCAGGATAGTGTTCTTCTACCAATGTTACAATCTACAGGTCAAGATGTCTTCAAAGTGGTTAGTAGTGGCCTTCCCGGTCATCCTGACGATAAACAGCCTATCATGCCTCGGTGCTTTACATTAACCCTATAATGGAAACTCGTTTCCTTGATGATGTCATTGATGGAGCGGCATTTTGTCGCTAGAATCGTCTCGATTGCGATGTGCATACTAAAACACGTAATTTATTTTTGATCATTGAGCATAAGCTTATGAGTGACACTGTACTTTAGGAAATCAAAGTAGTAACGATAGTCGCTACAGATTTTTCTCAGTTGTTTTTGCAAAATAAGGGATTGTAGGGAATGGTTTCAAAATGATGAGTTTGTACCCTACTTATATTGGATTGATTCAAAGAACTAAAGTATAATGGATCTTAGCAACGTGATGCCTTTGTTTCTTTGACTTCATGCGAAAGATCTTGCAAACAAGCTGTCATTAACAAATGAATCGGAAACATTCTGAATTTCCAGTTATCTAATTGATAAAAACCTAAGTCTGGTTCAAGCATTATCATGAATATCCCTTTCTAAATGTTGTTTCTACTACCGCGGTCTTGTAAAAGTGCATGAATTCTCTTTAGCTTGCTGCTCATTGGCTGAATCGCGAGGACGTCACCTCTGTGACAGATGAGGAAAGGCAGCAGGCGAAACGGCTCTGCTATGCTATCATCTACGGCATGGGCGCGAGCAGTCTTGCCTTGCAAAATGGCATCACGCCTTCGGAGGCTCAAACTCTAATTGACAAATTCATGGCCTCCTTTCATGGTAGGTGCATCTTTTTCATGTCAAATCTCCTCCCTTACCAGGCATGGCTGAGTTCATCCGTCGAACAATCCGGACGGCTCATGAGCAGGGTTTTGTTCGAACTCTAGGTGGTCGTCAGCGTAAACTAAGTGGCTTTAAACCGTCAAAGTCTACTTCGAGTCCCTCGAAATGCCCTTCACCGTATAAGTCAGCGAACATTTTGACTGCCAGCCTTCCCAACTCGTGTACTACTGAAAAGGCACGTCCACTAACTTTCAACACCGTTAGCCTTGTGCTTTCTGTTGAACCTGATGTCGATATTCCCTTCACTAGGCTGAACGTCAGGCTGTCAACAGCATGATTCAGGGAAGTGCAGCAGATATCGTCAAATTGGCAATGCGACGGGTTGAGTCGGCCTTGCAGCGTGAGGCAAATGTGTCCTGCCGATTGGTGCTCCACCTGCATGACGAGTTGATATATGAAGTAAAAGTTGGAATGTGTTCACGGAAGATGTCCCTGACTCGACTATATTTATTTTTCGTTTATTTTCCTCTATCGTTCGTTTTAGATCACACCGGAAACCAGTGTTCCAGAAATTTGCAATATCCTGCGACGCGAAATGTCCGGAGTGGGTCAAGCATTTAAAATGAAGATCCCACTACCGGTGAAAGTGAAGACTGGATCCAATTGGTCGAATCTCCAAGAGGCTGAATAATTTTGACGTCTTTCTCTGGGTACCCTAGTTCAATGTTATTTTTTTATTGTTATTCTTGTAATGTGAAGAAATAAAATGCAGGTGTAGCTTATTCGAGCCTGGTGGGATATTTCGGTACTCTCGGCTCCTGGGGGGCTGTACCTCGGGTTATTTCCTGGTGGTGATAGTGTCCTAGGCACTGGTGGTAGGTGGTGGCTCGTCTCCCTCGAGTCATCCTCGTCGACCGCGTGTAATGCGCATTTGTGATGAGGTTCCGTCTAACTCGCACATCTTGCCGGCTATTGGGGGAGCGTGGGGATAGCAGATTCACAGGTTACTACGCCAAATCATCTTTGACAGGGGTGGTAGCCATTAGTATTCTCCAATAGGGACTAATGGCTTTAACTTTTATCTTCGAGAGTAAATGTAGGAGATGTTTGCTTATTTAGAAGACTGGAAACCAAATTTATTAGCCTCGAAGATCTGGATTTGCCTAATATGCTTCTTTTCGAAGAATAAATGCAAAACTTCACCTCACTAAGTGCACCTAAAGATATTATTCATATTTCAGTTTAGTTTAGGAAGTGAAACCAATTTCAGGAGTCATGTAAATACATTAAAAAATTATTTTATTCGACTAATTCCACATGTCCCTCTTAACTTTGCGTGGGATTGGGTAATTTTAACGGTGGCTTTTGGGATGCTTTGCTATGCGTTACACTATGCTTTTTTTCTGCTTCCTACCCACTGTAAAGTGCTGGTTAATATGCATAATTATCATAAAAGTAAAGGTTAAATACATTAATCTTAACAACTGAGCACAAACATGCATTCTTTTTTGTCTCTGATGTTTTGGAGCCTTTGTAATCTAATTGATTATGCTTTATTTTAAAGGGTTAATTTCATTGACACCTTTCATTTTTCTCCGAAGAATAAATAAGTGGTAAAATGTGTGGCAGAACAGCTTGGTAATGCCGGCCACTGTTTGATGTTTAAAGTTCCTTGAGAAAGGAAAGTATATTGGAACGTCTGGCGTCGCAATTCAATGGTAAGAAGAAATTTGAATGGCGGTCTGCTCAGTCGGTGGGTGATTTTGCTCCCTCATTTAACAAAGCCCCTGGAAGTTTCAAGTGAGTCTTAATTTCTTCACTTTTCTCATGATTATTCTTGTTACTTGAATTTTCTCCTTTAATCTAGTCCTGTCATAATCTCATCATCACATTTAAATTCTGCATTTGAGTGCAATGCACAGTTGGGGATCGTTCAGGTTATGCTCTGGGGTCTCATTCCCTCATTTGTGTCAAATACACTACAGCAGGCCTCATCCGGAAACAAGTTCGCCACAACAAATGCCAGAGCTGAGAATATTCTTGAACGACCATCCTATATGGACTGCATCAAGCACCGTCGAAGATGCGTTATATTGGCACAGGGGTAGTCATTCTTTATTGTACATTGCTTGTAGTTTTTACGAATGGAAGAAACTTGAAGGGGGCAAAAAAACACCGTTCTTCATCTCCCTTCCTGGTAATCCTCAAACTGTACTCAAAATTTACATCTATCCTAGGAGAGAGTGAGCCGCTTATGCTTCTAGCTGGCTTCTTTTCTGTGAATAGGGAAAAATCAGTAAATCCCCAGCAAATTTTTCCATCTATCGTTTAGCTCTTCTCTTACAGCATTATTACAACAGGGGCTGTTAATGAAGTGGCAAATATACATGATCGTATGCCGGTATGTTGTTAATCATGTAGATTTACCAATATACAGGTCATTTTCCGGGACCCTGAAGACATATTCGAGTGGATTAATCCAGAATTGTGTTCGCCTGTTTCTGTGAGCTTGTTAACATTGCTCATTTTATCTCCCGTATATAACTACATTCTTTATTGTAGACCGTGAGGTTTCTACAACAACTGATAAATAAGTTGAAACTACTCGAATTGAAGATATACCCTGTCACCCCCTTGATGAATTCTACTTCATTTGACTGTCCTCAGTGTATTGAGCCTTTGGACCATTCAAAACCGTGTGTTTATGCGCGGTATTTCTGCGTTTTATTTCTTCTGATAAGCATGGCTTCATTTCATCGACATTTATCACTCATTAACCTTAGTTACACTTTACTTCCCGTTTAGTTCGGTTCGGGACTGCCCAAAGGACAGAAAGATTGCCCAATTCTTCACTATGAAACGAAAAATTTTCGAAAACACTGAATCCACACTTGAGGAGGAACCCACTTCGAAAAAGAGACTTGAGGATTTGTAATTGTTACAAGTCTAATGTTCTTAATTGTCAACTTTATAACGGATCAAATGGACCTTCTTGAGGGAGTGGGTGACTTCGAGGAACTCGTGGCCTGATATCAGGTGTGAGTGAGGTTCTGTCTGGGTTCTCGTCTAGTCGGATTGTTCTTGTGTGTTTTATGGGAGCCGTTCCTCTAAATGAGGTCTGAAAGAGAGTTAACATGGGATTGTTTTGTGTTGACGGATTAATTTAGTGAGATAACTCCCATTACCTGTTGATGTGCAGGGTCCATAGGGTTGTAGTTTCTTCCACGTTCTGATTTTCTCCGTCGAATTGTCAGATACATCTCACTGGTGAAGTCTGAAGCTTCTGTCTGTGGAAGCGTTGGTCTAGCTTTAGTTTTATGCTTTTTAAGGCTTAAAAAACCCGAGATTTGTGTTGGGGATGTCGGTGAGACGTCATCTCTGGTTACCATTTGTTCCTCGGTCCATCCTTCAAAGTGAAAAAAACAGACGATCGATTCATGACGACCTTGTGGGGTAGGATGGGCTGTATTTCTTAGGTATACCACTCTGGGTAAATATTTTGCCCAGAATTGCATTAACCTGGAGCGCGCATTTGCACGGAGTTCCTACTCTGATGACTCTTGGAGGTTCCACGCAAACTACAAAACAGCAGGTTGGTGCGTTTGGCGGGTTTGGGTTCAGATCGGTCGGACGACATCGGAGGACCTTGTGAGGTTGTTGCTGTTGCAGGTGGTGGTCGAGGCGCACTTGGCGGTGTTGGTCGTGCGCTCAGCGCCGCTGGTGCTGGTGGTGTCTCCAGCAATACTTTTTTTACTTGAGAAAACAAAAGTCGTTTTCCATTTACACTTAGAATTTTTCTAATTCGAAAGCTTAACTATATTCCTTCCAGGGTAAACCGGTTTGAGACCTCATCAGCTGGCTAAGGGGAATCAAAAATTTGGGGCAATAAAACGGAATGCAGTCCTGCTGGGTTAATTTGATAGCGCCTTGTGGAGAGGTCTTTAGCTACTGGCTGTGCGTGGTCCAATTTCACTAGAAAGGGAAATAAAGTGTCATTTTTTTCAGATCACTAAATTCATCTAATTATAATTCAAAAACAAACTGGTTAGACTTTGCGACGGTATCTTCTTCCCGACCCACTTCCAGATACATTGCGTTAGAAACCCCTAATACAGTCAGGTACGATGCAATATCATTGGTTTTTTAGGTATTAACCTGAAACCTCTCCCCCCCCCCCCCCAGTGATCACGAAGATAATTTTTCTCCTGCAAACTAAGGGTTGTTACGACAACCGCTATTGAACTTTCTAGGGATTTTAATTTACTCTAGATTTGGGAGTGCAACTGCAAAATCTACTGCAGCTGCCGTTGTTTAGACAGGCAAGATTCCGAAATCCACGCAGTTTTTACCCTGAGGTTTTCGTAAAGACGGTATTCAGACCTGTAACTGAGGTTAAAACTGTCTGTTTGTTTAGCAGTATTACCGATTCGGCTTCCATAACTCCTCTGCACCAAAGTTCCAACGCAATCCAGCATATCACTGGAGCATTGCAATTCGCTGTAATGGAGTTGACAGTTCAAGTAACGGAATTTTCTTCCTCAAAACGATGCACGAAGTCCCATAAATTACTACCAAATAGACGGTCGAGAGTAAATGAATGCGACTCTGAAAAAGGCGTTTATGTGAAAAACAGCCCTTTGATCGTTGCTTTCAGGAAAAGCCCAGAAATCTCTAAAGTTGGGAGTATTTCAATCTAATGGCCTGGCACAAATGAAAACCATTCAAGAAACCAGCATAACCACTGATCCCACCACAAAATCCGCTCACGTATTACAAATTGTTTTGGGCCAAATTTGGTGAACTGAAAAGAAAAAAGTAGGAAAAGCAAAATCAAAATACACTTACGAAGTGGCAGGCCTTCTAACATTTTGGCATACTGACTTCGAAATTGGCCTACCAAAACATGAACGAATTGAAAACGATGGAGGAAGTAGTCGCACAGGGTTAGTTCAGGTATTGTCGGTTATGGAGGTCAAAAAGATGAATCCGAGGGGAGTTTGGGGGGGATTGGATGTAGGCAAGTAAAAACTGTCCATTCCAAAAGGAAGTGAAAGTTAGAAGCGGAGGACGAGGGAATTAGCAACACCTTTCAGAGGAGCATTGGAGATGCACCACTGCAGTTTACTGTAGCACTTTCAGCTTACTCTTCAACCGATTTCCCGCTTCTGTGTCTGGCAAGTAGTTGAATGGAAGCCTGCCACTGTAGTCCCGCACTGTAGCTTTTGCATCTGAGAATAGCAGTGGAAACACCAAAATTGATGACAACTGAAATAGTTCCCAAACCCACAACTTCCGGAATGATGGTATTTTAAGTAATGAAATTAATTTCTGTTACAAAGATATGATAAAGGGCTGCCTTAAAAGACGGGACGCCAGAGCTATTCCATTTGGACAGTAAAAAACAAAAGTGGCTTTTTTTCAACTACAAGGTAAAAGAAGTTCGTAAATTGGCAAATTGTGCAAAATCGTGCAAATTAGTAAGCCTTCTACCGCTGCTATTGCGCAACTAAAACGAGGGATGGAATGGAGAAAAAATGAGATGTTTTCCGGCACGCGTGAAAGAAGGTTTTAGTTTGTCTCACGCACCACTGAAACAGCACCTAAACTCAAACATGAATAAAATTGCATGTAAAATTTTCCCAAACTTTCTGCGGCGGCCCTGTTTTATACCTTATCAGATCACAAATTTGTCTGGTTAGAAATACCGCATGCAAGTCATCAATTGGATGACGGAATGGAGGTGTAAACACGAGATTGCATTTTCAAGATCAGATGGCTATCAAATTCCCATGTATAAATAATGAAAATGACTCAACAATAAACATCGTGAGCGTATTCATCCTCTCAAGGATTGCCGCACAAAGGAATTAATCCCATTTCAAAATTGATAAGCACGTAGCTGAGAAGATAAATGACCTTCTAGATAATCTAGAAGTAGGACTTTGCCATCTACCCACCAGGCCTGAGTAGGAATAATTGATGTGAAAGAAGGAGTAAAGGTGAAAAAACTCACTAAATTGAGACATGAGAGTGAACGCTACTTCTTCCGAAGCACCAATGGCAGCCATATGCAGAGGAGTAAGACCCTGAATTAACAGTTGTAGGGTCTTGGTAATAGAAGGCACCTACCCCCTGAAATGAAAAAACGTCGAATTTTAGATCATCGAAGTAAAATTCTTCCAGCAAACGTGATTGCGCTCAGACAAGTGAATTAAAAATCATGCAGAAGAAGTACACAGACAATTATCACCCCCTTTGAATGCTAAATGAGAGGTAGGCCCTTGAGTACTTTAAAGTTTCATAGTCCTCCACGCATGGGGTGACTAGATGAAGCGGTTCTACAGCCAAAGATTCATCACCGCTATACTTGAATTACTTTAAGTAAAAATGAAGTGAAATAAACAATGAAATGAGTAGACATTCGCACGGGAACAATTCTTGTTATCTGCTTCCTAATGTGTTCCTGGATAGCGGCGACGACATACATGGTTGCGAATATCCACGTTCGCCTTATAAGTTCCCGCCAGAAGACGAACCAAACTCATATCATTAACTTGAGCAGCAAAATGCAGAGCAGTCTATAAAGCCAAGATCAAGTAGAAATGACTTTACAATATTACATATTGTACTTTAGCAAAGAGAGAAAAGACTTACGTTCTGGAACGCAGGGGTTAACCGATTGTAAGGTAAGGGTAGATAAGAAAAAGAATAGATTAGTGTCCAACACTAAAAGTAGGTAGAAGATACTCACTCCTGTAATATAGTCCTGCGATTGGAAAAAATAAACGAGGTAAACTATATTACGAAATCAAATAGGCTTCCATATCCACTATCGAAAAGGTCACACAACATACCCGCCAATTGACGAGTTCAGGATCATTCGAAAGTAAGCGAGACATTTCATTGAAGTCGTACTTTAAAATAGCATCCCGCCACTTTCGCTCTTGATCAGAAATCTTCCAAGAGCAATTTAGAAAAAATTTTCATCGACTTACGAGATAAGCATTCGATGCGCATAAACGTGCCCCACAAACATCACCACTAAGCTAGAAAAAAAATTTAGAAAATGACTATTATGAAAAAGAAGGCTTCAACAAAAGTAAAAAATTCGTAAATACATAGTAAATGAAAGACGTAAAAAGCTGGCGACTAGCGTTTATAAGGATATCTGCTTCTGGAACTCACACGCGCTGACTGAGTATTCAGTAAATTGTTTATGTGATACGCCGGAGACTTCCGCAAGACTATCTTTTCAGATGTTTCAGAAGTTTGCATTACACTTAAGGGTCTTCAATATGAACTGTACAATAAAGGAGCGCGATAAACACGTTACTTAAGTGGCGTAATTATGCAGCACCAAAATTCGAAAGGCAGGAAGGAAAAAGCTATTTGACTGAACAAAAAAACTAAAGGAACCAATAAAGCGGTGAATTTGTAACATACAAGACGTTATATATCCATGTACGCATGCAGAACATTTTATTAAAGTGAAAGCAATTTCGTGACACAAGTACATAGCCATTAGCTAAAAGGAGCAAAAATTTGCGAAAACACCGATATAGAAAATGAGTTAAATAAACCAATGAACTTAACAAAAAGGGGTTAAAAATTGTGGAAAAAAATAATACAGGTAAGTAAACCATTTCTTAAAAAGGCGTAACTTGTTAATCCATTCGCAAAAAATGGGATTTCCAGGAATTTTAAATATTCCTGAGCAGTCCTAAAAGCATACAAAATCCTCCCAAACTCCTGTGAAAATTATTACAAAGTTCGAAGGAAGTTAAGTAAACTAATGAACTTAACAAAAAAGGATTAAGAGATTATGGGAACGATAATGCAGGTAAGTAAATCACTTCTTAAAAGGGCATGGGTTGTTTAATACACGCGTAAAAAACAACAAGGAAATCTTCAAGAACTTTAAATATTCCTGAGCAGTGCTAAGGGCATACAAAATCCTTCCAAATCCTTGTAAAAATTACTGCAAAGTTCAAAGAAAGTAGAACTAAAGGTGATATACATAGGGGAAACAAAAGCTGGCGCTAGTTGACATTAAGCATTTCTGCAAAATTGGCACGAACAAATTAAACAACCTTTGGGAAGTACAATCCTGTTATAATATTTCACTAATGTAGAGAGTAATTAAGGCCCGTTGACAAAATCCCAATGTATTAAAGAACGAGCCTTTCTAATATGGGTAAGAAAGCCCAACCGTAAACACACAATCTTATCTATTTGTCCACCTGTGCACAAGCGGACTAAGACAACGCGCCGTAGACAGCTTGATAGGTCCGCTTAGTAAACTATACGCTAGGTTAATAACGTGATCAATTTTAAAAAAATTGGAGATTTCTTATAAATTAGGCCAACTTCGTTATTTCATCATGGTCTTGAGCTAAAATAGCGAGGGTTTGCTTTAACTTGGTTATAAAATTGGGTTGTAAGCGAAAAAAGATAAATTATTTCGACAGAAAGCAAATAATCGTTCCAAAGTTTAACAATATTTACTGGAAGTGTAGAGAAATGAGGCTGCAATGATATGAGTCTCATTTCAAGTGGTATACATGAATCACTTTACATTTGAGGAAAACCTGCAGATTTGTGGATCAAAATCGGGGAGTATTTACATTCCAAGTTCACAATTTCATGTTTTATACCACTAAACTACATACCCATAATAGTGGTCAGAAATTAAATGCTGGATTTTTGGGTCAGAATCAGTATTGCTTACCTTATATGCAGCATTCCGAGACTTTCACAAAGACGAAGGAAGACAGCGCAGGGCGCAAGTCGCAGGTCTCCTCTTTTTTGTTCCTAGCGCTCTTAGAACGACCAGGTTGATTTAATTTTGACATATTTATTGGAAGAAATTGGATCGGGAAACCAAGCACAAAGTTTAGAGAGGGGAAGAACCGCAATGGTTCTCGAATATGGGAGACGCCGATTTTGTCGTCAAATTCGAATTGTCACCTTGCCTCTTATCTGAAAGGTACATTAACACAATATATTACAATAGCACTCGGTCAGAATATGTACTGTCGACGTACAGAGGGGCTGGAGGCCAGAACCCCCCGAGTACAATGGGGAGGCCCCGAAGTGTCGCATAAGTTATTTTCTGGAAACAAAAATACCCAATAATAATAACAAATATCCAGTAATTAGACTGTGTGCAAACGCTTCCAATCCTCAGTTATTAATACCACACTTTGTCCCTTTTTTCATTTATCCTCATTGCCCTTTGGTTTCCCAGGTTATACAATTTCAGATTCTTTAAACTTATCGATAAATAACCGGTTCTCATACTACTTCTAACACCAGTTTTAGTCGTAGGAACTTTATGTAGCCCCCGATACTTTTCCAAAAACGAAAGATGACATAATTCTCGGGCAGAATACATACATATCCGGCACACAAAAGGTATTAGGGCTACTGGCATGGTCCGGAAGCCAGCCCACCCCATGAGACAATCGCTAAGACAGAGAGGCCCTTTGCCAATAACTGAGAGTTAAACTACCATCACATTACAACTAGGATTTGGGTTCCTAGGCAATTCTAGGGTTTTTAGTTTGTACCGAAAAGGGATTGTGAGTTAATTTTGGTTTTCTAAAACAAATTTCATGGCATTTTATGGAAGGGCTGGTAAACCACGACAACGCGCTATTTCGACCGAAGTCATTTGACTGGCCGATCCGGCGTACATGCCCATTAAAGTATTAAGGTCTCACCACACAACCCTTCTATCCCTTACACAGCGCATTCCAGGAATTGTGCCCTATTCACAAGGAAATTTCTCAAAACACTATTTCTCATAACAAAAGTATTATTCTAGAAACTGAAAGAGAATTTTAACTGGACGGCTTGCCGATTTGTTTTTTTAAACAATTCGGATCTTTCTCACCTATTGCTATAGTTGATGTTTGCTTTCACCTAAAAACGAGGGGATACGAATTTCTTCCGTCATATTATCAAAATACACACTAATATTACTGCTGTATTTCCCCTCAGTCTCCGGTTTCATACTTCTGACTCGGATAGACTGCTTCGAGGAAGATGTCGTATACCATGGCAGCGCGAGATTTTACGATGGAATAGGGTTTACGGAGGAATTGATGTCTGGGATCAATGATGCCTTCTCGACCATGGGTTGAGTCCTGTCAACTTATATACAACCTAAAGGGTGTATTCAAGAAGAGACACATCACAATATACCCGTAGGCTATTCCACGTCAATTTGTCCTTTGATCCAATTTAAGGCGCCAAGAGGCAACCATTTCGAATTTGGTAGGCTTTAAAAACTGGTTGAATCACGGTATCTACCTGTGAATGTTTCAATCTTGCATTGATGCAAATTAGTCTTGTGGACAACAAAGCACTTAAATTATATATTCACCATCCCAATTTTCTCAGTAACATGTGCCTATTTCCAGTAATTTGATAAACAAAAACAACATTGTTTGGTGATGAAATTATTAAAGTCAACTTTATGTCCCAGTGGACCTTCAAAAACGGTGAAATTAATGTACCAATACAGACACTTTAGCGAGGTCCCCAAAACTAATTTCGCGCCCTTTTCGCTATATATTTAAACGAAGCCAAAATGCACAACGAATTTTCTGAAATAAAGACATTTAAACGCCGACATTTCCCTTTTATGTTAAGAATCATTTAAATGCACCTTTCTAGTTTTTCAAGCCGTTCAGACGATGGAGGAAAGCATAGTACTAAGCCTGATTATGTGCTATGAACATACAGAAATGCTTGGGGCTACTGGCATGGCCCTAGGGCAAAGTCGTCAGGTGGGAGTACAATGGCGGATACCCTAAGTGGTCCGCTACCAAAACCGAGATTTAACAAATAATTTGCACATTACTTTTACCAACTTTGAAAGCCAAATCCATTGAGAAGTGAGGTTTTAAGATTGCAGGACAATGCCAGATCACTTAAGGACTGCATGAGTGATTGTTGATTTTCATGAAAATAATCAGTATCCAATCACGGCTTAACCCTGTTGCATTTCAGAAAGAAGATACTCTGGTGCGCTATTACGACCACAAGGAACCAGGTAAATGAGGCCAGGTGAGTGCACGCACCTTCTGGGTCAGAGCAGGTAGAGACCTGTGTAGGTATATATGCACCAAAAAGCCCCCACTTTTCTTTGACTCTTCCCGATGGACATTCTCACTCTCACAGCACCTCTCACCTGCCTCTCCATAGGTCTCGGTATCACGGCGATGGTCCTGCCCAAGTGGAATTGCGGCGGCTTTTTCACAACTTGTGCCTTAACCCTCATCCACCTCATCATCATGGCACTCATTCTCGGCGGCATGGCTCTTATCTCGATCGTCTTCTTCGCCGACATCTGTAGTGCTTGCAACACCAAGTGGTTGCCTGGACCAGTCTGCGCCTCCTATAAGATAATAATTTCTGCTCTCGGAGCTGCAAGTCTAATGGGGGGCAACCTACTTTACGCAACAGTGTTCGTCCAATCATGGTCCTTCCTGCTCTCCTTCTCAAGCGCCATCATCGCCGTGCATGTGGTACTGTTCGCCATTTTTGGATCAAAGTGTTTCCGCAATAACTGATGCTTTGCGCACTCTCCCTTCACGTATGCTCCACTACAATACCTACATCTATAACTGCGGTGGTTTCAAAAAGATTATTAACAAAATATCCACCTATTTTATATTCAAACACGTGTAGCTTCACTGTGAAAATCAGGGAGGTACACAATTTTTGGATGCATTTTTTTCAAGTCGCCGTTGCTATTTCTTTGAAGGTGGCTTTACACATTAGAAATTGCAGGGTTTTCAGTTGGAATCCTGTATTACTACCTCCACCACATTGGTTTGACAGTTAATGCATTGCACCTCGGCTTCTTCGACAAGCATCTAAACAATCCAACAATGAAATGAAAGTTTTTATTTCACTTAAAATTACCGCACGATACCATTATAAATAATGAGATTTACATGAACTAATTTCATTTTTTTAATTTTTCATGTCAGATTCATTTCACAGTGAAATCTGAAGGCAAAAAATACTTCTCTACACCCTAATTTGCATTTACAATTTATTTGATTAAAATACTTTCATATGGTAAGAAAAATTTAATTATAGCAAAACGAACCGAGGCATTAAACCACACTACTAATTCGCTAGGTACATCCTTGCGTTTTCAAAAAGCAAATGCATGATGAGAAGTTTGATTTAATTTTTATGGATATCAGTGGGGTGTTAGAATTTCAAAAACTTTTATGTAAAAAAGAATTAAACTTTGCTGCTGTTAGTCTAAAAGTAATAGAATAAGCAGACTTAATAATGCCAAGGTGAAGGAAAGAAAACGTGTAACGCCGAAATTGATAAGGGATCCAATTAATCCAACTTCTTGGCCAAAACAATATGCAGCAGAGCAAATACGCAATCCCCTCTTGAAATAACCTAACCATGACTGTAAAACTTCAATTCGCACTAACTCATTTATTTCTAGAATTGTACACATATTTGTAATGTGGTAAATAGATGATGAATCTACCATAGGTGGTGTGATATTATCACAATTACAGTGTTTCGGTAATAGCGGATGCAAATTGAAGAAAGCCATTATTTCTCATACCGTTTCGATGTATTTAAAGTACATGATTATTATTATCATCATCTAGTAATGCTTCCATTGTTTGCTTACTTCTGCATTTTGATCTCGAGGGCACTTAAGGCTCCACCTTAGCACTTCCTCTGGGCGGCGTGGCCCCGGCCCATACCGGCAGCAGTTCAGCCCTCTTGTACGTTGACAGTACATTATCTGACCTAGGAGCACGACTTCTTTCGACTTTGGGGAAGAACTGGGGCGCTACAATCTCCTTCAAATTTCCTCTTCCTATCCATCATGCGAGTAACGTAGTCTAGATTTAGCGTAGTTGTAGCGTCCTCCCTGAACATGTGACCAGCCAAAGCGGCATGGTGGAAGATGCATTGCTGATGCATGGAAGAGCTGGGAGAATATTAGCACGGCTGGAGGGCCGTCGTGCAGGGGAGGAGTTCACTCTCAGCGACTCAACACCTGCGTGGCTAGACACAAAGTTAGAGGAAACACCAAATCAGCGCATGGTCATAAGTAAACTAACCCAGTCTCCAAGCAAACTCACATTTGATTAATTTTGCTGTGACAAGTAGATTTTAGAGGCTAATTTATGCGCACATCTATTTTAGTCACGTGTAAAGAGTGTCAGATGGGCAAAAAACTTTTGTATCTTCAATTCAATCAGGCTTTCAATACTATGGTTTGAAAATTTTATCTCTGATTTTTAAATGGGACATTTACAATGGCATATTTTCAGCCAGGGATGTTTGAAATAGTTAGTTATATCAGAAGGGTTAAAGTTGTGCAAATTCAAACATGACTTTGAATAACTATACAAGTAATTCAAATTTAAGTGCTTCAACGCTAGTTTATGAAATGTCTCCTGACCCACGCATATTCCAACGCATGAAACTGAGTGCCTCGGGGGGCAGGAGAGTCAGATTCAAAGAAATTCACGATGAGGCCTTCGAAATGGTGCCGCAATTTGAAGGGCATCTGCAATGGGTAGCGTCAGGGTAAAAAATGCAGTCAGGACTCTAAAAAAAAGGAGCAGCACTGCTGCAGCTGAAGCCCTTCTCCCCAGGGAACTTCAACTCATACAATTGCTACATTGCTATAAGGTGTCACCAAGCGACTTTTGGCCCTATTGCATGACAACTTTCTTGCCTTTTCCTTAAAAAAACTTTTCTACCTTCGGTATTCCTTCAAATATAACCGTATTATTTAATATTTTTCAAAGGAATTACACAATGGTATTTGACTAGGGTAAAACTCACAAATGGTCGTCTTGCTTGTGCCGCTTTCAATAAATTCGATCCACTCTTCCTCACATTCACCATAAATTTTTGCAACTTTTGTAAACTGTGATGCAGTGCATTCTAATCATTCTACGACACGGTTCCGAACAGTCAAAAACGTACTGTCGGTGGGGAATTCCTGCATGCATTTTTTACCGTCGCTTACTTTCCAACTTTCTATATTCTCTTACAGACTGCGGCGTGTTAGCAGTTAGTACTTTCAAACGCAAGGGGTAAACTGAGCTTCTTAATAAATTCTGTTAAACCACGAAAACACCTCCTCCCTACATTCTTGAAGTTTGCATAAAGTACTCTTTGCAAGCGTCGAATGTTTTTTCTGGTGTTGAAGCAAGCGAAGGCGGAGTAATGGCCCATTATTTCACACAACTTTCCCTCTCATGTAGGCACTTCCCATTCTTAAGTTGGTGAAACCCGCCTAATCAGAAGTGGCATATAAAATGTGCATGGGCGCCATCACATTGCTGACACATTGCTTTAGATTAATATCAACAACTTCTCCGAATCCGTTTGCAGGTCTGACTAATAAAGTAGTATTTGTCATGGATCATGTGTTACTTGTAAAATTTCACAAATGGTAACTTACAGCCGACAGACCTAACCTGAAGGTCTGTGGACGAGAACAAAGCACTCTCACAGATTGCGACCCCTAACGGAGTGGCTACGGGGAGAAATACGAACTACAGTGACTAACCTCAAAATGCGGGCTACAGTCAGTCTCCGAGTCCTAAATTTGCCAACTAAAGGCGTTTCGTGTGTGCCTCCATGCGTGTGTATGATCGTGTTTGTGGTGGGTGAAAGTGAAATCGAGCCAATGGAATTGACGGCCTGAGTGTCACCTATGCCATCTGAAATGGTGGCTGCCTAGTGAAGCGCACAGCATATTGCAGTGATTGCCAGCACCATGCTGGTATCAGGGGCCGAGAGAAAAGGACAATTAAACTGGAGACATTGTAAGGTGATATGGACGTGATTCACGCGGTGTAATGTGACCCGACAAAATGTGTGAAAAGTTCCAACAGGAAGCAATTGATTAGGTCGAGAGAGATAACCTATTCTGAGCTTACTCATTTGGAGGTGGGACTAAGGCCAATCGTGTTCGCGTTTCCAAGTGAAGGAGTAGGCTCGTAATTCATAACTAAACATTGCAAAATTTATGCAAACCGAATGATCTCGTCCACTTACCTGAATTTCCTTATATGTTAGCCAATGTGACTTTAAAGTTAATGCCAAACTGAGATCTTGGTAGCATTTGACATTGAGAATTAAAAAATATCATTTTTTAGTAATACTTTGATTTGAACCAAATCAGCCTACTCTAAATCAAACTTTACTTCAGTTTTTTTGGGTCTCCTTACAGCTTGAATTATGCTTAAAAGACACCTCAAATTGACAATTGTGGGAGAATCCCTCCACTGCTGCTTCACAGGGCTACCCAAACCGGTTAACCCACGCTCTGCTTACGTTAATCACACCTCCAATCTCGCTTCTAAAAGATGAAGTGTTAAGATCGGCGAGGGATTGGTGGAGAGACAGTAGGATCAAGGTAAGACACTCATCTGCAAACGCAGATGAGCTCACACACACACACACACACACACAGTAGCACGCCATTGTGTGCACCCAACAGCCAATAGGACGTGCCAGCCTGTTGACATGAGCCACCAAGTCAAGCAACGAGTAGGCACTGCTGAAGACCACAGACCCGGAGCATGCAAGATCTCAGCGCTCTTACCATTCCACTGAGCTGCCTTGCTATCGGCCTCTGTGTGGCAAGCCTGGTGGTGCCCTACTGGAATTGCGGTGGCTTCTTCACCACCTGCGTCTTCACAATCATCCACCTAGTGGTGATGGGCCTGCTTCTGGGCGGTCTGGTGATTTTTGCTTTGGTTTTCCTGATAGACCTATTCAAGACCTGCCGAAATTCCTGGATCCCCGATCCCTTGTGCAATTCCTGCAAAGTCCTCCTGGCCGCAGTGGGTGCCGCATGTCTCCTGGGTGGGAATCTCCTCTATGCTGCCATATACATCAAGTCCACGTCCTACATAATGTCCTTCGCTGGATCCGTCGTAGCTGTTCATGTGGTTCTGATATCCCTATTCTCTAGTAAATGTTTACAAGGCCAATAAGATTTACAGAAGGTGACTTCTAGCATTGTACGCCATGTATAAATCGTCGTTATTTTGCTCTGCCTTTGTAATTTCGTTTTACTTGAACAATATTTATGCTTATCAATTTAGGCTGAATTCACACTAGCCAAATAATAATCGCTGAATTTAATGCGTTTTTAAATCTTATGAAAATTCTGCTCCTTCCTCCCTAGGGAGGGAGAAAGGTTTGATCCGACAAAAGGGTTTTTTCTCGGGAGTAAGAATATGTCACTGCATAGGGTGATTTGAATGAAAGGTTGTAGATCAGGCAGATAGTTATGTTTTTAAAAGCTTTTAGTGACTTTTGCTACGCAAATGAGTCCTATTATAAGGGACAAGAAAAAATGTTAGTTTGAATAAAAATGCTTCAGTTTCAATTGGTGTGATGCATAACACCCACTCAAGTAAATCCAAAGTTTGGCAAAAGCAGGCGCTTCAGTGGATGCAGTAGACGACAAATAAGAATTGACTTCAAAAGAGTCTGATTTCAACATGAGAAGTTGAGTAACTACATTGCATGTCTGAACACAGCAACAGCGAAATGAGTGTAGTTGATGCGAGTATGCTCCCGGAACCGTCAACGCGCAACTACATTACTTAATCCACCAGAGACATAGGAGTACCCTAAATAGAATGTATGTGTGGGAGATAATCCGAATGAATTTATGCTGCATCAAGATTTGGGTTGATTTTGTATTTAAGGCCATGGAAAAGGATGGTAATTCAGATACATTGTCCTTCGGCGATTACTATCGTTGAAATAAATCGTGTGCTGTGAGGAGCAAGAATGCCTTAAATGAAGCAGAGTTTAGTGTAAACGCCTGAAAAACATCAACAACTAGATGCAGTGTTGAAAGCATGCAAAATTGGTTGATCACAGAGAGAATGCGGCAGAGGATCAGTCAGCAGTAGCGATAGTTCTTCAAGTGAGTGTAGAGAGGGATCGCCTTTAGTCGCTCTAGTGTCCGGAAAATCAGAAGCTGGGGACTTTATCAACAGTGAAAATTCCAAATTGTCAAAAATACATAATTTATTTTTATGAGTAAAATTTATGTTTAACCATAAACTGCATTCAAGTTTTAAAAGGTTTGAAATACTTTGATTATTTGTTATATCCTCGTTTTACTTCCGCTGGGCTATGGCAGCAGTAATCCTCTAGCCCCTTGTACCTTAGACATCCGTTTTCTGCTCAAGTATTATTACCTCTTTTTTACTTCATTGAAGACTTAAGGTGCTACAGATAAGCGTCCCACTTTAATTTTTATACATTTATTTAACCGACATTCCGAAACAGCATTTAATAAATTAATTAATGAGATCCATTCATGTGACCCAGCGGTCACTTTTTGACACTAGTCTTGCTGTACCCACTTTTCTTACCCAGAAGTGAGTCAGTCCCATTGAAAAGTTCCTGCATGGCGCAAACGAAGGTGCTGCTTCTAACAAATAAGTTATAAACCCATCTTGTGGTGAATTCGTACGCTCGAGGTGAGAGCTAGGTCCACTTTTAATCCTGCAGACAAGAGTAGAATCTATCTAGTTGATGCATGTGTCAATGCCATGTTAAATGAGGTATTCTACGAAAAAAGCGTCGAATTATTCCAAATGCAAAGTTCTTCTTTAACCCCACCCGGCTCCGGTTCACTTTTCTGACTCTAAATGAGGGATTAATAAGTTTTTATGAATTAAAAAGTCGCATTTTAACTACTTGTAAATGACCTCCCAGAATTGGGCTAAGAAATGAAATATTTTTATCAACAGCAGAATCCTATCTAAAAAATAAGGCATTTTTCCAATGGATAAAACCTTATGAAATGGAGTTTGTTTTTCACTCTTGACATACTTCAAATAGAAAACAGCATGCAGGTGATCGCTTTATAGATAAAGTTTCCTGTTAGTCCAAAATGAAGTCTCGTTTCACTATTAAGTATGTGCTCAGTAGAAACACGAAACATTTTGAAATTGATCTTACTAATTTAACATCAGCTAAAGGCAATAAAACAGGGGTAATGTGCTTGAGATCCCCTTAATATGAAGCTGAAAATGTCACGAAACTGTAGCGCCCCGAGACACTCTTAAAAACACAATACCAGGAAAGAATACGAATTGCCGACGTATAGAGGGGCTACGGGGCTACTGACATAGCTCCGAGGCCATGCCACTCAGCGATAGTTCACTGACGGAGTCTCAGTTGCCCTTAAAACCAAGTCAAAGAATTAAATAAATAGTTTAATCTTATTCGTTTTTCAAAAAATTTTCATCCTTATGTTATTATTTACGTTAAGTCGGGTATCGTGCTTAAACCGACTACCTTAAAAATTTTGGGTTCAAGTCTCCCAAGGCGCTTTTGAAATCCGTCCTCATGACCCACGCACGATGCCGACAGATCGGATGTACACCAACCGACAGAAAGGAGCGTTGAGATAAATAGAATGCACTTCCGAGTCCACAACGTGCTCCGGAAACAACAGACTAGAGGCAATAAAAAGCCCACGCGTATACCCGCGTTATTAGACAACCACCCATGCTGGGTAATTACCTGTAAACTAGAAAACGTGCCGTTTTATGTGTAAAATGCATCCTTTTCCACTGTCACCCCACTTATTCGCAGCACTTAATAAGACGTCAAATTTTATTCGAAATGTCACTTTGGTTTTACCAAGCAAAGGTGAGAAGTGTACGGTTTTTCTGGTGACAAGCAGCGCATTAAATCGAATATAATTTGAGTATCCTGAGGACACAAAGTAAGTGGATTTTTTTGTACGGTTTGTGACTGTTGAAAAAATTTTAAATATACTTAGTATAAATTTTGGCGCCAATGATATGCATGGCAGGAAGGTTTGGCGTCGTATGGAGACGCAGTGCGATGAAATAAGATTTCAAAGGAACCTCTTCCAGTGCTGTAATGCTTTGGCTGTTTATTTAACTCCCAGTTTTGGTAGAGGAACACTTTGGGTCTCCGCCGGGTGGCTTAGTCTCCAGGCCATGCAAATAGCTCCCAAGTCCTTCCGAATGTCCACAGTACAAATTCTGCTCAAGTATTTATTGTCTTCTTTCGCCTTTGAGAAGGTCTCGGGGTGCTGGTACACCCTTAAGATGATTGTAGGCGTCTTCATGCTTCAACCATAAAAGAAATTTGTAATGGAGTTAAGACATATATGGGAAGGCAACTAATAAAAAAACGTAGTTGGCCGAATTTTGTTGATAGGGTAGTTTTCTAAGAAATATATTTTTTCAGTTTAGTCTCAAAATAGAGAGTAACGAGGGACTAGAAGAATTTGTTGTTTCTACTTTATTTATTCTTAATTTGAATAAATACAGCAATGACTCGTTTGATGTTGAATGGGGTCAATGAATGAGTTGGAGAGCCGTACGCACTTTCAAATATCCCTTTAACGATGAAAGCTACCCCATCACACTGGAATTAGACAAATAAGTCCTATTATGGAGAGTCAGAATATCTTGTACCAAAGTGGCTCTATTACTCAGTTCAAAGCATTCAAGTACAAATGAAGAACTTGGGCCATTCCATGATCCGTAAACGAAACAGCTTCCATGGTCATGCTTCGCCCATTTTTTTGAGAGGTCTACAATTTCGATAACAGTACCTGAATCCTAGATGAGGCAGCATAAAATAAGCTACAGAGGGCCACTTCGTCAAGCTGTGGCATATTTTGGAACCGATAGATGGGGATAATTATCTAGTAGCCAAACGGAGTGGACACTATATCATTGAAGTTTTAGGTAAAAGAGCTTAATACATAACAGCTAAAATTCAAACAAGTATGATGGAATAATTTACTTCTACTATTAAGGAAACTCTTCACGATGCACAGGGTGTTCCGAGTGATGCGGATTTTTGCCACATTTCCTTTTTACTTCCCCCAATTCCATCTGCATAATTCATTACTGCCGATTTAGTGTTCTTTGTTTATTGCAGGTCAACTTTCCAAATTGCAGGCACTTTTGAGACCCGATTTACGAGATGGAGATATTTACAAGCAACGCCTTTAATTTCGCCCTTAAGCAGATTGCTAATTACTTGCAGTCAACAAAGTGTGTTTACATTTAATTTAAATATGTAGTTGGAGGCATAATAATGAATGAAGGGATGACTGAGACAACAGTATGTACGACTTTGTATTCGAGACAAGCTAAAGTACTGTGGGAGAATATGTACTATTAATGTACGGGTGGGGGGGGGGGGGGGTGAGAGCCGGGATCCCGCTACCATGGCCCGAAGGCTACGCGTCATGGCGATCGTACAGTCTAACCAGACTTCAGGGTCGGTGGAGTTAAACAAATTAGCAAATCACTGCAATATCCATAAACAAAAACTAATATATTGGTTTGTGTTGAAAATAGTACCTATTACAGACGTTTACAAACACCCTCCAATTTTCAATGAATATCATCCTTTAGAAGAATGAAATGAAAAAATTCTTTGCTCAAGTGCAATGCACTTGAAGCATTCTGGATTTGTAACTTTTACTAAGCACATGAAATAGGTGGTAGAAAAATAAAGAAGTGAAATGAGTCTTTGAGTTTGGCACTGTATCTTCGCCTGGTGGGCTGGCATCCCGGCCGTACCAGCAGCCTCAAATTCCACGCATGTCGGTAGTGTATATTCTGTCCGTCTTCAGAGAAGTCTCAGGGCGCTACATTGGTGGCCGAGGAGAGTAAAATCAATCTTTAAGGGTGGAATGGAAGAAGTGCTTTTGCTACAGATGGGAGATTGTTAATGCCCCATAACAAAAGGGATGAAAATGATGCCCGCCTTTGATAATTATTGTGGTTCCATGTTCGTAAGGAAAGCCATCAAAGAAATAAAGCATAACTAGCTGTGGTCCATCTAAAAAATTACCGTGAAGACCCTACCTGCCGTACCTGTATGAAGACGTCGATTGTGATACCTCCTTCACCTCTCTACTAGCTGGATGGAACCCTGGTAGATATGGCTGGGCAGCTCGGGAGTGAAA